GAGGGTTTTTTTGGGTGGGTTTTTTTTGGGTTTTTTTTTTTTTTGGTTCAGACACATTTTCTGCCTTGTCTGGGCTGATTTTTTTGCCTGCTTTGGGGCTGGGCTGGAACGGGAAAGTGCTGCTGTGGGAAAGCAAGGGGGACAGTTAGGGGAGGCTCGGGGGCCCTGTCCCTCCCCGCAGGAGCGGACTCGGAGCCTGTGCCTCTCGCAGAAGCAGCAGAATATTTCCACTCTGGGGTGGAGAGGGGAGACCCGTGAGGATTCCTCCCTGAAGGAACAAACTTTTGGGGTCTCGAGGTGAGAGATGCTTTCTGACCCTCCGCTGGCCAGGGGGAGGAAGGAAGGGCTCCCCAGCCCCATTTTCACAGGCAGGGCTGGGAGAATTGGGGAGGGGAGGGGGGAGCGATGGGGTTGGAGGGGAGGACGAAGAGGGAGCAGGAGAAGGGGGTACAGTCTGTGGAGCACGTTCCTCCGCGATCTGTTTTACAGAGCCTTTTCATCGGGCTTTCTCGTCGCCTCCCTGGTCTCCCACCCTGAGCCTGGCCTCACAGCCCTGCCTGCTCCTGGCACCCCGTATTAGCACCCTCAGGCCGAGGCTGCCTGCCTCGTCGCAGGCAGGTGCCCCGGGGAGTCACCGGATGGCACCGTGACTGCCGTACGGACCCTGGCACTGTGGGTCTGCCTTGTGCCGGGGTCCGTACCCCTTCGCCCAGGGCTGTTTTCCTTTGCCCCCCAGTGCCCGGAGCCTCTCAGACGCAGGATGGCTGTAAGGACTGAAATAAAGCTGCTCCAGAGACTGCTGTAGGCTCCTTCTCCCCTCAGCGCCCCATGGCACGGGCTGACCCCCCGATTCCCTCGGGGCTCTGCCCCTCGGCTCTGCTCGCGCTGGCCCCAGCAGGGCCCACGGCCGGCCCACGGGACCCCTCCGCCATGTCACCTACCCCCGGGGGAAGCAGGGCTCGTGCCCTTTTTTTCCCAAGAAGGGGCCTTGTTCATCAGGAAGGA